GGGGCATATCACACCATTCCATTTTTTAACAAGTTCCCTCCTCTTAGCAATTTTCCTCATCAACTTAATTCTTACATTATCAATCACCTTTGTGATAGGCAAGTGGTGTTCCTCTCGTATCCACGAATTAGCTACATTTGACCACATCTCTCCAAAGCGTTGCTTTCGAAAATATGCATTACTCTAATGATTATATGGTAGCATATCAACTGGTAAGAACATCTGTTTATCTTTTTTCGTAAGATAACACTAAAAAAATGTTGTGGAGCTGTAATTGTTGAGTTTTAAAGCCAACTCTAATGAGATGACAGTGTTTTGGTCTTGATTTGTTTTGTTTTGTTTTATTTTATTTTTTTCATTGTCATGTTATTACTAAAATTGATGTTCTGAATCATTGTTGTAAAACTAATGGAAAAAATGATATTTTAATTATTAAACTTAACGGAAATGATATTTTAATTATTCTGCATACAATTACATTGACTTTAATGATTAACATGTTTTTTTTTCTTTTTTTGTTTTACTTAACGGTAATGGAAACAAATTGATAGTTTCAAAATATTAGAATTTAAATTAATAAAATTAAAAATTTAGAATTTAGCTTGTTATAATGATTAAAATTTAGAATTTTTTTTGGTAATATTTTTTATATTTTTGTATTTCTCATTTTTTTTTTTTCAATTTCAATTGAATATAGTAAAGAAATTGAAGAGTCAAATCATTAGAAACAACCTTAGATACTTCACGTAGTGGGTGTGGATGGAAACATTAAGTAATAACCCTATGGTTATACTAACTATACTATTATTTATTTGCCAAGAGTAGCTACCTAGAGTACGTGCTCTTTCTGGACTAGCATAATGTATCTATGTTTGTGTTATAAATAATATCCATTCATATTCAAATTGTAATTTCATTCCTCCGTCTATCTTCTTTTATTAAGACTGACGAAATTTATTGTGTGAGTTAAACATGGTATTTTTTGTCTCATTACTGTTTTTATATTTTTATCAAAATATTGTTTAGTCTTTGCATCTTCACTAAAATTTTATTTTGATTCATTTACTTTTAATTTTCATTACCAATAGATTGATGGATTCATTGTATTGAAATATGAAAAAATTGTGAGTAGGTATTAAGAGGATGTAACCTAATTTGTCTCATGGATTTGTAGTTAAAATTTTTTTTACCTTTTTGGACTACTTGTGAATCTCCCTAGCATTGTTATAGATATTAACTAAATGGATTGACAACAAGTATTTTATATTAGGTCCGACACTTCTCCAGTCAAGAGTGTTAAAAGGCTCATGAACCAATTCACAATTGCAATTCAGTTGATTGGAGAGAAGTCATATTGCTAGCTAGATATCGGTACTACTTTGTTATAGATCTAAAAAGTCAATTAAAAAGCTAGTAAACCCAAGAAGGAAGAAGACTAGGCAGCCTGTTGTGGATAAGGTAGATCCAAGTTAGCATTTTGGAAAAGGAAGCTGTTGTCATTTGCTGGTAGGCTAACTTTGATCAAGTTTGTTCTTGATAGCTTACCTGGGATCATTTAGTAAGACTAAAGGGGGTGGTATAATTATGTATTTTTTTCAAACTTCAGGGGAGGGTAGTGTAATTTACCCAAAATAAAATCACACTTATTAATATTTATAATCTATTTCCTATAAATCTATCCATTTAAACTTGTTGAATCATAAATAGAAGAGAATTATAATATATACACTATTGTTTGAAGAAAAAAATTTGTAAATACTGCACATTATTTTGTTTTACTTTTTAATGCACCTAAAAATTAAAATACTTGTGAAAAATCTAAAAACAAAATTACTAAAGACCAAAAAAAAAAAAGAATCTTTTTTTTTGTTTGTTTAGTAATTTTTTTATTATAAATTTCTTCATAAATATTCTAATAATTAGGTGCATGTAGATCTGATTTAAATTTTTTTTTAAATGACTAAAATATGAAAAAAAAAATTCAGTATGAAAAGCAGTTTTCAAAGTGACTTTTACAATTGTGATTTTTACGATTTTGAAATCCTTGCATAATAGCTTGGTTATCAATATTATCAAATAAGATTTTTTTTGTATAATTTTAATGGAGTGGGTCAGATGTTCAAAATTTTCGTGATCATAAGTCATACCAACTGTTTTCAAAAAAAATAAAATAATAAGTCATACCAACAGTTATTTAAGTGAATACCCTGAGCTACAGGTAGAGCCGTCCCTGCAGAGCACCAAAAAATAAGAAAACCATTGCCCTAAACAGTCTCTTTGGATTTGGTGATTTGGAGAGAAAAGAAACTAAATAGAAATGGGGTGAAATGGGAAGAAATAGACACAAATTTCTATTATAACCCATCTTTTGAATCTAGCCAAAAGTGGAGAAGATTTGGTGAGAAAACAAACTATTCTGACTTTTGATAATGCCAAAATTGCCTATCAAAATCCAAATGAAATAAAAAGTTGAGTATTTGTCCTTGTTAATTATGGATTTGTTTGTGCTTGTTGATGCATTGTTACAGTAAGGTTCTTCTGCTCTGTGACCGAAATTTGTGTACTATTTATTGCATTGTTGGTTGAAGTAACTAACTAAATCTTATAGTATACTAACTTGAAACAGCAAGAGGATAAGTGGAGTAGATGAATTGAGGAACTTCTTGGTTGGTTTGTCATGTTGGTATAATCTATCTGCTTTCAAGAGTCCAAATCAAGAAGCGAATAATTTCGAATGCAGAGATGTACTAATGTTTATTTTTAAATCAAAAGAAGTACTAAGAGTTGCTAAACAAATGATGAGTGAATTAAATGGGAAATGAAGGATGTATTTGGCTGCCCAAGAAATCTTAGGAAGGCTGCAAAATACTAGCAAGATAATATGTGAGAAATGATTTTCCACAGAGAGAGAGGTGTATATGTGCTTCTTATTGGAAACAAGAAGGTGATTGATATTATGCCGAATTGATTTTCCACAGAGAGAGAGAGAGAGAGACAGAGAGAGGTGTATATTTGCTGACTTTGCTTCTTCATGTATAATGAAATGAAGTGCAAAAGTTGCACACAGACCAGTAAAAGAAAAAAATGTTTTTAAGATCTCTGGCAACCACAGCCAATATTTTTTCAGCTTTCTTATGTTGAAGGTTCTTCTAGAACCTTATCGATAGACACTTGTACATTTAATTTTCTTCATTATCTTGCCACCATTCGTATGATATAGAATGTATACATCAAAACTGCATATGCTCTTAGGCAACTCACAAGGACATTGCCTATTCGCTAAGCTTTTGGAGATGTATGATTTCTTCAACCTTTTCTTTCAGTAAATAGATAGATGTTGGATTTCTACTTGTTCTGAATTTGTGGTGTGACTCATTTTTCTTTCTTTTTCCCCCTCTCACCCTTCCCTTTTTATTTTTTCAGTATTACAGGGCTTGAAAGAGTGGTATGAGCTAGCCTTACAAAGAGATGATGTGAAGGCAATTGTTGTTACTGGTAATGTGAAGAGATGATGGCTTATCATTTTCTTATGATGAGATACGAAGCTAATACTTCTGTTACTGGATCAGGTGCAAAGGGCCCTGGCCACGCTTCACCAACCACTCTACTTTTCTTTTTCTTTTATTTATTTATTTATTTATTTTTAAGAGGAAGGAACACATATAATGTATTAAATATGTAATATTTCATTTGAGATAATCTAATTTTTTTTCTTTATTTACTATTTTAGAATCAATTTAGTAAACATAAATAAATAAATAATTAGTAGGGTTTCATTTTTGAAATTGGAGAAACATAATTGAATTGAAATAAAACATTTTATTTTTAAAAATTGAATGACAAATATAATTTAAAGAATGGTTATTTATTTTTATAATACAAATGTGATTACAAAAATATAGTTACTAATCTCTGGTTATCTTGATTTTTTATATAAATATTTTACTCTATAAAATCTAAAAAATTAACGGTTCAGATTACCAAAGTCGACCCTAAAATAGGCCTACTGAGCTCAACCATTCTCTCAAGTTGAAATTACTAACTTGGTAGAAGCCAAACCCTAAAAAGTAAAATGACATAAATTTTATCAACATAAATTGTTGTTAACTAGAAAAAGTTTAACTTTCATTTTTTGAAGCACATCACAAATTCATCATTCCGTAACTCTTACCATAAACTGACATATCAGACACCACAAATATTTATTATTTTCATCAGAAAAATATAAATTTCTTACAATGTGCTCCTTTTGTTAAAAAAAAAAAAAATTAAAAATTAAAATCACAAATTAAAATATCTCAATTAGTTCTTGTAAATAAAGACTTCAAAATTGTTGAATTTTTTTTTAATAGGGTAAATTATGAAAATGGTCCTTATAGTTCACGATGTATTAATTTGATCTCTATCATTTTAATTTGTTTGATTTTGTCCCTTAATTTAACAGATTGTGTCATATTGGTCATATAAATAACGGTCGTTAGATTTCGTAGATGGAAACTCAAACGATGTGTTAATTTGATCCCTATAGTTTACACGATGTGTTAATTTAGTCCCAGTCAAAATCGAGCAAATTAAAATAACAAGGACCAAGTTGATACATCGTGTAAACTATATGGACCAAATTGACAGATCGTTTGAGCACGTGATAACTTTCCATCCACCAAACTTAATTGCCGTTATTTATCGAACCAATATAACACAATCTATTAAATTAAGAGACAAAATCGAGCAAATTAAAACAATAGGAATTAAATTGACATATTGTGAAAATTATGGGGACCATTCACATAATTTACCTTTTTAATATAAACAATTTATTAGAATGTTTTGGATAATAAAAATGGACTAATAATTTGAAACATAAGAAGTATTTGAGTTGTCACTATTAAATTAGAAATAAATATAAGTGATGAGAATTATTAAATCAATATAGAGATGAGAATTCGGATGATACATCAAAAATAATATAAAAGGATCATCATTGCGTGAAGAGGCTGTTCATTTCTTCCACTCCCGTTTACATATCATGTCTATGAAGAAACTGTACATTGGTTCCCTTTTGGGCGCCCTGCTACTGCATTCACTCATGGTTGAGTTGGCCATTTGTTCCTCAAACTTCACTGATCAATTGGCTCTCCTCTCCTTCAAATCCTCAATCAACTTTGATCCCAATAATGTGTTGAGTAACTGGACACAAGAAACCGACTTTTGTGGCTGGCCGGGGGTCTCTTGTAGCCGACGTAGGCAAAGAGTCACGGGTTTGATCCTTCGCGGCATGGGTCTCCAAGGCACCATATCTTCTCGTGTCGGTAACCTTTCCTTCCTCCAAGTGCTCGATCTACGCAACAACAGCCTCCATGGTCATCTGACCGATGAAGTTGGCCGTTTGCATTACTTGACAAGTCTATTGTTAACGAACAATATGTTGGAAGGGGGCATCCCAATGGATTTGCACCGGTGTCGGATGCTTCGTCTCATATATCTTACAAAAAATAATTTTAACGGTAGCATACCAAAAGAGTTGAGTACCTTACCCTTTTTGAGGTATCTTGCACTAGGAGAAAATAAGCTTACAGGTACCATTCCACTTTCCTTCGGCAACACTTCAAGCTTACAACGGCTTGTGTTACAATTTAACAACATTCATGGAAGAATTCCAACTGAATTAGGACAACTTCCAAATCTGCAGATAATTTCCTTGAGTGACAATCTTCTCACAGGTTCGATAACCTCTTGCAATTTTTAACTAGTATTTTTCAGTAATTATTGAAATTTACTTGAATTCTACTGCCTTTCTTTTGGAAATCTTCCAATGATTTGAACTTTTGGCTTTCCCACCTTGCAGAGCTCAAATTACAAGTCAATCAACTAACTAGCCACACATGAAAATATAAATGGCCGAAAACATATTAAGGTCTTGATAACTTACATTTATTTATTTATTTATTTGTAAGTATCGTTATTCAAATCTAAAAATTAGACCTAATATTCAAATCTTATGATGTGACAATTAATTAAAATATTTAAGACAACTTCTTTACTCATATTTTTTCTAATTATTAGTCAAGTATCTCTCTTATCAATGGGGGTAGATAGTGAATTTGTATATCTTTTTTCATTTTTTTTTTACTTCCCTCAAATTCATTAAAATTTGGGTTAATTATACTAATGGTCCCCATAGTTTGGGACTTGTGTCATTTTGATCCATGACTTTTCAATTATGACACATTGGGCCCTGAATTTTAAATTTTGTTCCAAATAAGGACAATTGAAAATATCATTAGATTTTTCAAGGGTAAAATTGTCAATTTGATAAAATATAAACTAATTTGACCAAAATAAATATCAAAAAAATTATTTTTAATTTTTTTAAAATTATTTTTATCCACCAATGATAAAATAATGTAAAATTAATAAAAATTACATGATTAATTTTTTAAAATTAATTTTACATGATCATCATCCAAGCACATAATAAAAATTAATTTGGTAAAATAAATAAATAAATGTCTAAAAGATTTATCAATTTTACATAATTTTATTTTTAGTAGGTAGAAATATTTTTTTAAAATTCAAAAATATTTGTTTGACATTTATTTTTGTCAAATTAGTTTATATTTTATCAAATTGACAATTTTACCCTTGGTAAAATCTAATTATATATTCAATTGTCCTTATTTGGAACAAGATTCAAAATTCAGGGTTAAATGTATCACAATTGAAAAGTCTAAGACCAAAGTAACACAAGTTCCAAACTATAGGGACTATTTGTGTAATTTGCCCTTAAAATTTTGAGAGTTTGAAAGTCATTTACAGTGATTAGTTGATTTTCATAATTATTTCTTCTTCTTTCAACTAAAAGAAAAAGGTGAAAAACTACGTTAACCTTCTCTGAGGTTTAAAAAAATACATTGACCCTCATAATTTTAATATAATTTTACTGAACTTTCTTAAAATTTTAGTTCACATCACATCTTGCCTCATTTGCATTAATGATTCATTAATCCTATGGATTAAAAAGTAAAATTGTCATCTATTTCACACTAAATTATATATTTCTCCTTATTTATTATTTCTGTGTCTGCTTCTTATTTGTATTTGTTTTTATTACTATTGGTTTGCACTGGTGTCAAATGCTTAATGTCATATTTATTAAAGCTAATAATTACAGTGGTGGCATACGAAAATGAATTTATCCACGCACCTTTTGTGTGTGAACAATACTCAAAATATAATTGGCCCAAATATGTGAACTTTACACCCAAAAGGTGTAATAAACCCACCCAAAATGGTAGGATCTATCATTTTACACCAATCAAAATGTGTGTATTGTTTACAAACTCTTTCTATTTGTAAACAAAATCAAAATTGGTCTTGGTGACATACCAAAAGAGTTGAGAACCTTACTCTTTTTTATAACTCTTTTACTAGGGAAAAAAAATTTACAGGTACCCATTCCACCTTCCTTTGGCAACACTTCAAACTTAACAATGATTGACTTGGCATATAACATCATTCAAGAAAGAATTTCAACTAAATTAGGACAACTTCCAAATCTGTTGACATTTTACTTGAGCTCCAATTATCTCACAGGTTCGACTAGATCCTGCAACTTTTAATTACTGTTCTTTAATAATCATTAAAATTTACTTTAATTTCTTTTGGAAATCTTCCAACGACTATTGGGCTTTTGGCTTTCCCAGCTTGTAGATCACAAATTGCAAGTCAATCAACTAACTGGGCACACATAAAAGTATATTGAGGGGTCGTGAGCCCCATGGATTATGTTTTAATGATCCAAAATATTCATTTTGTAGGGCTTTCTATTTATATAATCCTTGAAAGAATAAATTAGGTAGATCATATAATCGTATCATTCTCATCTTATTCTATTTCTATCCAAAAAAATCAAATGGTCTATTTTAAAAAACTATTTGTCAATTTTTTAAGAGACAAATGTAATTAAAATAAATATTACAATTATCAAATCAACTTTTTTTTTCATAATGATATATATACTTATGATCTTAGAAAATGATCGATTAAGATCATTAAAACGAGACCATTGATTATCAAAACGATTTAGGCCATCCAAAATGTAAATAGTGAAACATATTAAGACCATCACAGTCCACACTGTGGGGACATAAATTTTGAATGACAACACGTGGCCGAGGTGTCATCGAAGTGCTAGCCGAGGTGCCACTTGTCCTGGTCATGAGGCCGAGATCATCTCGGCTAGGTCCAGGTTATTTGTGAAGATACCGGAATTCGGAATAAGCGGATAAGGGACAAGAGTCCTAGAATGGGAGAAGACTTCATTTGGGTAAAGATAAGACTCTTATAGAGTTTATCCTAATCCTACTAGGAATCCAAGATTAGCAGTAATCCTAAGTCCATCAGAGCTAGGCTTCTATTGGGACTAGGATTGTGTTGGCTATAAAAGGGAGGCACCTCCATGGGTCTAAGGTATGTCTTTTATGCTCTGTCTAGTGAGTTATGCACTATTGGTTATCTTTGAGAGATATTTTACTGACTTGATCGTCGGAGTGCCCCCGGGTGAACGAATCACCGCCGGAATCTCTTCTTTCTGTTGTAGGTCATTCGGGCTTAATCTATTCTGCCGATACTCTCCAGCTAAGTACTAATTTGGCAGTGTTGTCAGAAATTGACACACACAATTTGGCGTTGTCTGTGGGAAAGAAAGGAGAATAGATGGCTAACGACGGATAGAAAAAGAAGGTTGGGGAGGACACCCCTACTGAGAGTGGGAAACATATTGACCTTGACGTCAAAGAAGACAACTGCAATGAAAAGACTCGTGATAAGAATCACGGAGGAAAGGACGTCGGCTAGGAGAGCGATGTACCAAAGAAAACGGACTGGAGCGGGTATTACAACGAGGACGACCTCCAAGTATGGAAAGAAAGATACCTACGGAGGGACGATGAGGTAAAGGCCATGGTGAACAAATTAGCGGACCTACAAACAGTTGTCAATTTCATGATGCAGAATAATGTCATACAGCCACCATTCCCATTACAAGATACGCTGATTCCAGCGGCAAAGAAGGATGCCTGAAAAGAGTGGCAGAAAATAATCCCTACAGTCCTGTAGCACACCAGGATCGAAAAACACTGTCACTGGCCTTCAAGGGAGGTCGGGCGAGGAGAGCCAAGAAGGGAAGAATTGAGGAGGACGCATCGCACCAAGGAAGCCGACACCAAAGAACATCGGCATGTTCAAGGGCAAGAGTTGTGCTTTGACGCAACCAATGGAAGGAAGTCCAAAAGGACCCATAATGAAACTAGGAGTAGTGCACCGAAAAGGCTGAAGTCAGGAGATAGCCGAGCTCTCGGACGGACCAAAGAGAATCTGGGAGATCACCTACAGAGGAAGTAAGAAGATGCCGAGGTAACCTCCCTGGTCAAGCCGAGAACGCCGTTCTCGGTAGAATTGGACAAATTCGAAGCCCCAAAGAGGTTTAGCATGCCGAGATTCCAGATCTACAACGATAAGTCGGACCCCAACTTTCATGTTGGTTTGTACTTGAACTCGATGGCGTTGTACATCGAGAACGAGCCATTGCTCTGCAAGGTGTTCCTTTCATCCTTCGTAGAAATTGCATCGGACTAGTTTCACAAGTTGTCGAAAGGAACTATGAAAACCTGGGAAGGCCTGGCCGAGATATTTGTGGCTAGGTTTGAGACAAACAAGCTACAGCCATTGAGGGTGGACGCCCTAATGGCCCTAAAGATCGACGAGGATGAAAGCCTTAGGGCCTATGCCAAAAAGTATTATGAGGTATTCAACTGAATACGAGGATGCAACCAAGAGATGGTAGTCGTGTCGTTTAAAAACGGCTTGAAGGATGACTGCCTGCTTCGAAAATCACTGACAAAGACATTGCCGAAAAGCATGGAGGAGCTGATGGCCAGGATAGAAAAGTATGCCAGAGCCGAGGAGGACACGCCCAGGACAAAGGCGTCCAAACAAGAGAAGAGAAATGGTTCGCCGAAGCGAAGCCGAGATAACATTGGATACAAGAAGACAAGAGCTCAACCCAAGTGAGCATATCCCGGATTCTAGATCTCGAATCCCAAATCCCAGAAGACAAGACCTCGGCCTAGATGGTTAAGTCCGAGAAGAGAAGAGCTTGGCCTAAGTTAAAGAATTTTTATATAAAGTCCACAAAGGAGTATGTGGAAGCCATGCAAGGGGCAAATCCCTTACCCATAGAGCAATATCATAGGGATTCTTTTTGTCTTACATGCAAAAAGAAGCTGAAGCCTATGTAAAAAAGCACGAAAATGCTTTGAAATCCACTTGCAACGTGCGATAGAACAGCAATTCGGCTGGGGGCATACCAGCAACAACTTGCTAGAGCTTACAACAAAAAGGTCAGCCCAAGAGAGTTCAAAGTTAAGGACCTCAGCCTGAGAAAGGTTGCCGGCAATGGGGCATAACGACTGAAGCAATAATAAAGCGCTAGTTTGATTTTTGAAATCTGTGCGATAGGACTGACCAGTCCTATGACGATGTTTTTAATTGAAACATGACGAATAACTTAGACTTATTATATGGCAGAGTAGAAACTTTACTTGTATATAATAAAGTTGAACTAAGTTGGATTAACCTGGACTTGTCATATCGGCAAAATTAGACACAGATTGGAGCTGAGTGCCTTAGTAAAAAGACCAAGGTTGATAACCTCAGCCAGTCTTTGATCGAATCTTACATCGGCGACGAGGTCAAAGCCACGTGCCTAATGAAAATCCAAGTGGAACTTAAGTTCACATTAGGGGGCTGAGAGTTAGAGAATGATGCCTGGGAGCTGGAATTTACAAGCTAAGACTAGTTTAAAACTTGTTGAAATTTTAAATTTACGAGTTGAAGTTAAACCGAGGTCATGTTTAACACTTGTTGAAATTTAAGTTTACAAGTTGAAGTTAAATCGAGAATATGTTTAACATTTGTTGAAATTGAAATTTACAAGTTGAAGTTAAACCGAGGCCATGTTTAACACTTGTTGAAATTGAAATTTACAAGTTGAAGTTAAACTGATGCCATGTTTAACACTTGTTGAAATTGAAATTTACAAGTTGAAGTTAAACCGAGGATATGTTTAACACTTGTTGAAATTGAAATTTACAAGTTGAAGTTAAACCGAGGATATGTTTAAACACTTGTTGAAATTGAAATTTACAAGTTGAAGTTAAACCGATAATATGTTTAACACTTGTTGAAATTGAAATTTACAAGTTGAAGTTAAACCGAGGCCATGTTTAACGCTTGTTGAAATTTAAGTTTACAAGTTGAAGTTAAACCGAGGTCATGTTTAACATTTGTTGAAATTGAAATTTACAAGTTGAAGTTAAATTGAGGATATGTTTAACACTTGTTAAAATTGAAATTTACAAGTTGAAGTTAAACCGAGGATATGTTTAACACTTGTTGAAACTGAAATTTACTAGTTGAAGTTAAACTAAGGTCATGTTTAACACTTGTTAAAATTAAAATTTACAAGTTGAAGTTAAACCGAGGATATGTTTAATACTTGTTGAAATTGAAATTTACAAGTTGAAGTTAAATCGAGGCTATGTTTAACACTTGTTGAAATTGAAATTTACAAGTTGAAGTTAAACTGAGGATATGTTTAACACTTGTTGAAATTGAAATTTACAAGTTGAAGTTAAACCAAGGATATGTTTAAACACTTGTTGAAATTGAAATTTACAAGTTGAAGTTAAACTGAGGCTATGTTTAAACGCTTGTTGAAATTTAAATTTACAAGTTGAAGTTAAACCGAGGTCACGTTTAACGCTTGTTGAAATTTAAGCTTACAAGTTGAAGTTAAGCCGATGTCATTTTGAAGGAAGATTGGTTTAACACTTGTTGAAATTTTGGAGAAAAATTTACAAGTTAAGCCAAGGCTATGTTGAAAGAAGTATCTACATACTTGCCGGGATTACCATGTTGCCAAGACTTGGAAGAAATTTGAAGACAGAAGTCTTGCTAAGAGTGAAGTATCGAGTTGTAAATAACACTTGTGAAAATATTGTAAAAAATATTTTCAAGTGTTAAGTCGAGGCTGAGATAGATCGATTAGTGGGTACAACCGAGGTGTTACACCCCAAGGAGATTGCACAGTTAAGGTGTATTTTGAAGACATGCAAATTATTTTAAACATAGAAGCATACAAGAGTAGAAAGAAGACACATACAACCACGTTGAAAGAAAAAATTAAAGAATGCATTCATAAAAGAAAAGAAGGCACTTCGGCCTAACATTAAAGGGTGATTGTTTAGATTACAAAAAGGCCGGTGTGAAGTACGCCGGTGTCAGACGGTAGTAGTAAGCAAAGAAGTGGAACGAAAGCCTCGCCGGAGGGAGAGAGTGAAACTGGTTGAAAAAAGCTTCGCTAAAGCAGCAATGAAGGATTTGAGAGAGAAAGTTTGAACAAGAACGAAGATGCAAAAGTAAAAAGACGGAGAGAGTAAAGTGATTTTGATCAAACACGCAGAATGGCGGCAAAATGGCAATTAGTGTGCCTAGGACGACATGCTTGTCAGACGACGTACGCAAATGCGAGGCGACTTAATGGCGCGTATCAGACACGGCTCGGTAGGGGAAAGACGCGTGACAAAAACGGTTGAAATACGGTGCGTGCGAGCTCATACGCGTTATGAAAATCTTGGAGTTCTTGATTTAATGAAGCAAATACCTCGGCTAGGAGGATGATTTCGGTTAAGAAACTTGAACGAACTTGGTTGTTGGTTCTAAAGTATTGATGAAAGCAGACTATAGGTCTTGGTCATATTGAGTTGACGAGTGATGACCTCGGTAATGAATAATGGAGTGAGCTTAGCCGATGTGCTAAATGGAAGAAATGATATAGGTTCCATCACCTCAGGATGCCGAGGTAATAGAACCTAGGGGACAGTTGTGGGGACATAAATTTTGAATGAAAACACGTGGTCGAGGTGTCACCGAAGTGCTAGTCGAGGTGTCATATGTCCTGGTCATGACGCTGAGATTATCTCGGCTAGGCCGAGGTTATCTGCAAAGATACCAGAATTTGGAATAAGTAGATAAGGGACAAGAGTCCTAGAATGGGAGAAGACTTTAGTTTGGGTAAAGATAAGACTCTTAGAGAGTTTATCCTAATCCTACTAGGAGTCCAAGATTAGCAGTAATCCTAAGTCCATTAGAGCTAGGCTTCTATTAGGACTAGGATTGTGTTGGCTAGAAAAGGGAGGCACCGCCATGGGTCTAAGGTATGTCTTTTATGCTCTGTCTAGTGAGTTATGCACTATTGGTTATCTTTGAGAGATATTTTACTGACTTGATCGTCGGAGTGCCCCTGGGTAGACGAACCACCGTCGGAATCTCTTCTTTCTATTGCAGGTCGTTCGGACTTAATCTATTCTGCCAATGCTCTCCAGCTAAGTACTAATTTGGCAGTGTGGTCAGCAATTGACACACACACACACACACACACACGTATTTATTTTTTATTTCCCTCAAATTCATGAAGATTTTGAGTCAAAATTTTGGGAGTTTGAAGGCTATCGTGATTGGTTGATTCTCATAGTCTGTATAAAGTAAATGGTTCGAATTATCGAGGTTGACCTCAAAATGGGCTCACTAAATCCAATTGCTCTCTCAAGTTGGATGGTCATCCAATTTGAGAGAAAGGGTTTGGTGGTTAAATTTTGGATGATTATCTGAATCGTTCACTTTTCACGACTCTTTGATTAGAATAATCATTCAAAAAATCAAAATGATCGGATATCAATTGCTACATATATAAATTATGTTTGAATCAAGATGAGCTCCAATCATCTCAGAAGTTCGATAACCTCTTATAATTTTTAACTAGCATTCTTCACTGATCAAAATTTACTTGAAATCTAATGATTTTCATTTGAAAATCTTCCAACAACCACAGGCTTTGGCTTTCCAATCGTGCATAGCTCAAATTACAAGTTAATCAACTAACTAGCCACACATGAACATATAAATGGCTGGAAAAGTAAACCCTAAACAAATGGATGAAAAAGTTATATTGACATCTATTTCACAGTGAATTATATATTTTTTCATATTTATTTTTGTGTCTACTCCCTATTTGTATATGTTTTTATCCTTGTGGATTTGCACTTTTGTCTGATGTTTCGTGTCATATCTCTTAAAGTTAATAATTTTAGAGGTGCCATATAATGGATTTTATTTTATTTTATTTTATTTTTGATCAGGTCATATAATGAATTTGTTCACACAATTTTTGTATATGAACAATACACAAAATACGATTGGCCCAAGTATGTGGACTTCACACCCAAAAAGTGTAATGACTCCACCCAATCAAAATGTGTATATTGTTCACACACTGTTTCCCCACTTATAAACAAAATCAAAATCAAAATCAAAATCAAAATCGGACTCGATGGCATACCGAAAGAGTTGAGTACCTTGCCCTTTCTGAGAATTGTTTGACCAGAAGAAAATAACTTTACAGGTACAATTCCGCCTTCCTTTGGCAACACTTCAAGCTTAAAATGGTTTGGCTTGGCATATAACAACATTCATGGAAAAATTCCAATTGAATTAGGACAACTTCCAAATCTACAGATAATTTTCTTGAGCGGCAATCATCTCATAGGTTCGATCGCCTCCTGCAATTTTTAACTAGTATTTTCCAGTAGTCATTGAAATTTACTTGAATTCTCAGTGTGTTTATTTTGAGTTTTTTGAATTAAGTTTTCTAAAAATTCAGTTTTTTGATTTTCGTGTTTCTTTGTTTTTAGTGAATATTTTTTAAATTTTAAACATTTTTTTTTTTTACTTTTTTAGATGCACCTTACTTAGATGTATCTAAAAAGTAAAAAAAATTGTAAAAAAATATTTTAAAATTTTAATAAATACATAAAAATACAAAAAATGTACTGAATTCTCGTATTTTTTTTTTGTATTTTTGGTATTTAGCGAATTTTTAAAAGGTTTTTTTCACAAATTTTTTACTTTTTAGGTATATTTATGTTAGGTATGTCTAAAAAGTAAAAAAAAAAAAATTTGCTTAAAATATTAAAAAAATTCAATAAAACCAAAAAAATACGGAAAACAAAAAAGTAAAATTTTCTGAAAAGTGTTTTTAGAAAAACACAACCAAGCAAGCTTGTACTATAATGACTTGAGTACATTACCCCTTTTGAGATACCTTGTACTAGCAGAAAACAACCTTACAGGTACCATTCCACCATCCTTCGGCAACACTACAAGCTTACAAGGGCTTGGGTTACAATTTAACGACATTCATGGAAGAATTCCAACTGAATTAGGACAACTTCCAAATCTGCAGATAATTTCCTTGAGTGACAATCTTCTCACAGGTTCGATAACCACTTGCAATTTTCAACTAGTATTTTTCAGTAATTATTGGAATTTACTTGAATTCTAATGGCCTTATTTTGGAAATCTTCCAATGATTTGGACTTTTGACTTTTCCATCTTGCAGAGCTCAAATTACAAGTCAATCAACTAACTAGTCACACATGAAAATATAAATGGTTGAAAACATATTAAGATCTTGATAGCTTTCATGTATTTCTTTTTAGCATTGCTATTCAAATCCAAAAGTTAGACCTAATTTTCAAATTCTACGATATGACAATCAATTAAAATATTTAAGATAACTTTCTCACTTGTATCTTCTCTAATTATTAGTCAAGCATCTCTCTTACACATCATTGGATTTCGATATTGAACTTGTATGTCATTTTTCATTTCTTTTTTACTTTTCTCAAATTCATTAAAATCTTGGGAGTTTGAAAGTCATTTACAGTGTTTAGTTGATTTTCATAATTATTTCTTCTTTTTTCAATAAAAAAAGATGGAAAACTACGTTATCCTTCTTTGATGTTTGAAAAAAATACATTGACCTCTACAATTTTGACATAATTATTCTAAACTCTCTTAAAATTTTAGTTCACATCACATCTTGCCTCATTTTCTAAATGATTCGTTAATCCTATGGATTAAAAAGTAAAATTGTTATCTATTTCACACTGAATTATATATTTCTCCTTATTTATTATTTCTGTGTATGCTCCCTATTTGTTTTTGTTTTTATTACTGTGGATTTGCATTGGTGTCAGATACTTCATGTCATATCTATTAAAGATAATAGTTTCAGTGGTGGCATTTGAAAATAAATTTGTCCACACACCTTTTGTGTGTGAGCCAGGCCCGACCCTGACCCAAGGCAAGCAAGGCTGCCGCCCTGGCCCCCAAAATTTAATCAAATTTAAGGGTTCCAAAATACTTTTAATCAATGTAATATTAGTAGCTCCAAATTAAGCTCCAGCCCAAGTTTCTTAACTTCACCACACAGTCCAGACAAAAGGCCACAATAAAAAATTGCGGGGTTCCAAATTGAATTACAATAATATATTGGTTAAAGTATGTAAATAATAGAAATATATCAATTAAACCATGTGCTTTCTATTGCTTCCCATCTGTAAGCGGTGGAAGCAAATTGTGCCGAGACCAAGCAAACGTCCGGTCAAAATTCTATGCCACGAGATAATCGATGCGATGTTTTTTTAAATTCCTTGCTCTTATTTGATTTAAGAACTTTGCTTTTCAATTTAATCTCTCTCTCTCTCTTTTTTAATTATTGATTGCATTGGTTTTAATTTTGATTTGTGCCATAAATCTAATTTTAATGCCTATTTTTTTAATCTAATTTTTTGTTGATTAAATTTTGTCATGCTTTTGTTTTGCTTGAATCAAATATTTTCTTCAATTGTCCTCCCATTTTGTGGATGTTTTTTGAATTGTAGTTATGAATTGAATTTCTATTGAGTTTTAGATAATCGATCTCAGTTGAATTTCTCTTCAATTTAGATTAATTTTATAATCATGGTTGTTCTGAATGTGAAACGAAAAAATAGAAAAACTAATTCAATTTAAATAAAATTAAGTCATTTCATTTTGCTTCACAGTTTTTTTTTTTTTTTTGGTTGTAGTTTTATATAAAAGGCCCCCATTTTAATGTTCGCCTTGGGCTAGAAAAACTCCAAGCCTGCCCTTGTGTGAACAATATACAAAATATGATTGGCCAAAATATGTAAACTTTAAACCCAAAAAGTGTAATAAGCCCACCCAAAATGGTAGGATCTATTATTTTGTACCAATCAAAATGTATGTAATATTCACAATAGTACTTACAAAAAGAGTTGAGTGTCTTACTGTAAACAAAATCAAAATTGGACTTGGTGGCATAGCAAAAGAGTTGCGAACCTTGCTCTTTTTTTATCTCTTTTACTAGAAAAAAAATAACTTTACAGGTACCATTCCACCTTCCTTTGGCAACATTTCAAGCTTAACACGGATTGACTTGGCATATAACATCATTCATGGAAGAATTTCAACTAAATTAGGACAACTTCCAAATTTGCAGACATTTTAATTAGTGTTCTTTAGTAATCATTAAAATTTACTTGAATTCTAATGTCTTTCATTTGGAAATCTTCCAACGACTATTGGCTTTTGACTTTCCCAGCTTGTATATCTCAAATTGCAAGTCCATCAACCAACTGGGCACACATGAAAATATATTGAGGGGCCCATCACTCTCATCATGGATTATGTTTCAATTATCCAAAATATTCATTTTGCAGAGCTTTGCATATATATAATCCTTGAAAGAAAAATTAGGTGAATCATATAATCATATATTTTTCCTTTTATTGTATTTGTTTCCAAAAAATTATATGGTTTGCTTTAAAAAAATATTTGTCGATTTTTTAAGAGGCAAATTTAATTAAAATAAAATATTATGATTATCAAATTAACTTGGGCCTTGTTTGGTTTGTATTTCTCAAAAAATTCTGGAAAAAATTCTCTACAAATAAGTTTTCAAAAGTAGTCAAACCAAACAAATTTTTTCAAAATTTTTTTCCAAAACTTGTTTGGTTTACAAGTTTTCCAAACAAATCTCTCTCTCATACACATCAAATCAATCACTTTTTCCAAAACTCTCTCTCAAAATAATTTTTCAAAACATCTTTTGAAAAAAAACCAAACCAAACAAATGTTCGTACTTTTTATCTCAAAACATGTTTCTCAAATACAAACCAAACAAGCCCTTAATTTTTTTCATGATGATATATATACTGAGGACCTTAGAAAATGATCGATTAAGATCATTGAAACAAGGCCATTGATTATCAAATGATTTAGACCATCCGAAATGTAAATTGCTGAAACATATTAAGACTATCACAGTCCACACGTATTTATTTTTTATTTCCCTTAAATTCATGAAGATTTTGAGTCAAAATTTGGGAGTTTGGAAGCTATCGTGTTTGGTTGATTCTCATAGTCTTTATAAAGTAAATGGTTCAAATCATCGAGGTCGATCCCAAAGTGGGCTCACTAAATCCAATTGCTCTCTCAAGTTAGATGGTCATCCAATTTGAGAAAAGGATTTGGTGGGCTTATTATGGAAGCGATTTTGGTTATCTGAATCATTCATTTTTCATGACTCTTTGATTAGAATAATCATTCAAAAAATCAAAACGATTGGATATCAATTGCTACATGTATGAATTATGTTTGAATCAAGATGAGATCCAATCATCTCACAAGTTCGATAACCTTCTACAATTTTTAACTAGCATTCTTCGCTGATTAAAATTTACTTGAAATCTAATGATTTTTATTTGAAAATTTTCCAACAACCACAGGGCGTAGGCTTTCCAATCGTGCATAGCTCAAATTACTAGTTAATCAACTAACTAATGGCTGGAAAAGTAAACCCTAAACATATGGATGAAAAATTTATATTGACAAAAAATAGCTATTTCACACCGAATCATATTTTTCCATATTTATTTTTGTGTCTACTGCTTATTTGTATATGTTTTTATCCCTGTGGATTTGCACTTTTGTTTGATGTTGTGTCATATCTCTTACAGTTAATAATTTTAGAGGTGCCATATAATGGATTTTTATTTATTTTTTATCTTTTTTATAAAGCAGGTCATATAATGAATTTGTTCACACAGTTTTTGTATATGAAAAAAAAAAAAGAGTCCAACACATTAAAGTGTATTTGGGAGAGAAAAAATTGAGTACATACCTAACCTTTGGCATAATTCACAAAGTGATGGTCCCAATACTTGAACCCATAATCTCAAAATTATTAGGTCAAGTCTTAACCATTGAACCAATGGTCATCCCTAATTTTTGTATATGAACAATACGCAAAATAGTATGTGGACTTCACACCCAAAAAGTGTAACGACTCCACCCAATCAAAATGTGTGTATTGTTCACACACTGTTCCATTTGTACACAAAATCAAAATCAAAATCAAAATCAAACTAGGACTCTGTGGCTTACAAAAAGAGTTGAGTGTCTTACTCATTTTGAGAACTGTTTGACTAGAAGAAAATAACTTTACAGGTACCATTCCACCTTCCTTTGGCAACGCTTCAAGCTTAAAATGGTTTGGCTTGGCATATAACAACATTCATGGAAGAATTCCAACTGAATTAGGACAACTTCCAAATCTGCAGAAAATTTATTTGAGCAACAATCGTCTCACAGGTTCGATAACCTCCTGCAATTTTTAACTAGTATTTTTGCGTAATCATTGAAATTTACTTGAATTCTAATGCCTTTCTTTTGGAAATCTTCCAATGATCTGGACTTTTGGCTTTCCCAGAGCTCAAATTATAAGTCAATCAACTAACTAGTCACACGTGAAAACACGTGAAAATATAAATGGCTGAAAACATATTAAGGTCTTGATAGACTACATGTATTTCTTTTGAGCATTGCTATTCAAGTCCAAAAGTAAGATCAATTTTCAAATTCTATGATGTGGCAATCAATTAGAATATTTAAGACAGCTTCCTCACTCATATCTTCTTTAATTATTAACAAATCATCCATTGGGTTTAGATAGTGAACGTGTATATTATTTTTTCATTTTTTTTACTTCCCTCAAATTCGTTAAAATCTTGGGAGTTTGAAAGTCATTTAAGGTGTTTAGTTGATTTTCATAAATATTTCTTTTTTCAACTAAAGAAAAAGGTGAAAAACTATATATTAACCTTCTTTGAGGTTTGAAAAAAATACATTAACCCCCATAATTTTGACATAATCATAAGTATAATTTAAATAAATATAATTTTTGACTTTTTAAAAAAAGATGTGCAAAAAAGTATAGAAATAATGTGACAAAAAAAAAAGAAAAAAAAAAAAACACTTTTGTAGTGCACCCAAACATCCTCTGAGACGACCAACTTGAGAGAATCCAAATCTTTTTTCTTTTTATTTTTTTTAATTTTTTTTGGAAGTAGAAACCAATTAGAAAAAAAAAAAAGAAAAAACAGATTTTTTTTTGTTGAAGTTTTTAAAATTTATTTTTACCCCCTAAAAAGAGAAAATGATGAGTTTTTTTGTTTTTTGTTTTTTTACTTTCTTAATTTTTTTTTATAACAAAACTAGGTTTTTTTTTTTTTTAAATGATAAACAAAATTTGAAAACTCAACTAAACTTGTCAATACTACCATAATTTATTACAACAATGTTACATTAATTAAATTTTTGATCATATTTTGCTTATCACATAACTATTGGCGTAATGGATCTCACGTGTGTTGTCTAATATCTAATAAATATGAATGTACCGAATTAGATGCGATAGTTGTATGATATACACCCTTAAAAGGGGATAATAATTGTGAGTAATGCTAGGGATTTCAAATATTTTATTAATATTTTTATCAAATGTTTTACATAGACGCGGGATCCATATGTGACCCACATGGTGTGGATTCCATACCCATGTGAGACATTTGGTAGAAATATTGATAAATATTTGAATTTCTTAGCATTTTTCAATAATTGTTACACTACTTTGTAGTGTTAGTTATATGGAGAATAAAGTAAACGTTGTAAGAAAAATGGCAAAATCAAATAGCATTTTTGGTTTGTGTGACCCCAAAATCTTTAACGGTTATAATAACGGCATTTTCAACATCAACATGTATTAAATTGTACATAATTCCTTGATAAGCATATCTTCGTGACAAGACGTGAAAAATAATGTCAATGCAAATTTTCTAGGTACATGCTTGAGTCTCTTGAGAACCTTATGCAGATGACTTATAAAGGCTTATCCTGTAACAAGTTTGAACGCTAAATAGTCCTAATGATTTTGCTAACCTTACACGGTTAATAGTTCTGAATGTTGCAAGGAAATATATATATATATATATTTTTTCTAACATTACATAGATTGTTTATTTGGATTTATCACGAAACAATTTCAATCACAACTTATTTATTTTAACTTTTCAAATATTACAGGTCCAATTCCATCTGGGTTGTTTAATATTTCGTCATTGTCGCACTTACTCCTTGGTTCTAATCGACTCAATGGTCAACTCCAAGAATTCCCAAATAATTCATTGCAATTGTTAGATTTGAGCATCAATGAACTAAGTGGCCCCATCCCACCACTTGTGGTGACAAACTTTTTAATCTCACACAATAAATTCACAGAGATCCCTTCGGCGATTTGTAATGTGAGTTCCATTGAGATCCTTGATTTGTCTCATAATAGCTTGAGTGGTGTAATTCCACAATGTTTAGGAAACTTTAGCAATGTACTCAGTGTGTTAGATCTTAGAAAGAATAACTTTCACGGCAGCATTCCGACCTCATTTGCAGAGGGAAACCAGTTGAAGACTATTGATTTAAACGGGAATCAATTGGAAGGGAAAGTGCCACGATCCTTGGCAACATGTAGACACTTGGAAGTTCTAGACTTTGGGAACAACAATATAAATGACACATTCCCCTACTGGTTGGAAACTCTTCCAGAGTTGCAAGTCCTTGTCTTTCAATCCAATAAATTTCACAGTCCCATGGGCTCTTCCAAAACTCAATTACCCTTTCCTAAACTTCGAATCTTGGATCTTTCTCACAATGAGTTTAGTGGCTTTTTGCCAACAACATATTTCAAGCATTTCAAAGCTATGAGGATCATCAATGAAAGTGTGGGACTGAGATATATGGGGGAATCTTATTATCATGATTCAGTGACAATCATGGTAAAGGGTCTTGAGATTGAATTACCAAGAATTCTAACAATTTTCACGACGATTGACTTATCACACAACAAATTTAGTGGAGAGATTCCAAACGTCATCGGAAAGCTTTATGCACTTCGATTGCTTAACTTATCTCACAACAACCTTGTTGGCAATATTCCTCCATCACTGGGAAATCTTTGTTCGCTTGAATCCTTGGACCTCTCTTCAAACCAACTTTCTGGTAAGATTCCTAGCCAATTGACAAGTCTGACATTTCTTGGAGTCTTAAATTTTTCAGAAAATCATCTTGAGGATCGCATACCTCGTGGCAACCAATTTGAAACATTTGATAATAGCTCGTACAATGGGAACTTGGCATTGTGTGGATTTCCTCTATCAAAGGAATGTGAAGATAATAAGACACCATTACATCCAACACCTATGTTGCACAAGAAAGATGATCCAACTTTTGCACATGGATTTAGTTGGAAAGTGGTACAAATGGGGTACGGATATGGAATGGTATTGGGATTGGTAATGGGATATATTATGTTCTTAATTGGAAAACCAAAATGGTTTGTAAGAATTGCTGAAGGAGAACAACAGAAGAACGGGAAAAGGTCACACAAGGGTGGTAACAAACACGAAGGGAGAAGAAAGTAGCAAACACAAATGTCTTGTCAGGTAGGTAGTGCTTTACCATTTTTTTTCATTGTTAGATGAATAGAGAACTTTTTTTTATAATGGCATAACGGTTAAGTGATGTTTCTAACATTGTACTATGCTACAGAAGAAGTAAGATTTGTGCAAAAAATTCTCCATTCGTTTGAGTAACTTTAAATATGCTTACTGATAAAGTAGTTTGAAATGCAAGCTTTGCACAAGGTAATTAAAATACTTAAGTTATTAGATTGATTTGGAAACAAAGCCAAATAATAATTTTATTTTAATTAGTGAATGAACATTGTGTGTACTATTAATGAAGTGTTATGCTATAATGATCATATACAACCTGGTTTGATGAATCAACATTATACACAATACATCGATCGCTGCCAAAAATACTATGTTCGTCAAATATCTTGAACATTTTATCATGAAAATTCTCCTAATATGGCCTAAAGTCACTACAATCCCTTGGTTTCGTTGTTCTGTAAAGAAAACTACAAGGCAACACTGGAGTCATCACTGAAACATTATTCTCTAAATAAATTACCAGGTTCTCTAATGGAGAAGAGAAAGAAAATGGTTTAATTGACTGACTATCTGATCCAATTACTGCCATTAAATTTGAGGACACTGAGGAACACATGGAGAGAAAATGGTGGAGAAAACTATTCATTATATATCATAAGTACACTAGATGCTGGAAAACAAGAAAATCAAGTTCTAAAAATAACGTCATTTAGATGTCCCACTTTATATACATTGTCGACAACATAAAGTTAGAAATGTAGAATCAGGAAATTGACAACTCAACAGAAGCAATATGGTCAGTGACTTATTAGAATGCTTAACAAATCAAAGCTTTTAATTAAAACTACTTTGCATTGAATGAACTCTATAAGGAAAGAAGTGCAGAGAGCAAGAAGTCACCAAAATGGTGTAGTTCCAATTCTCAACTAGAATCTAACGTTCTGTTTTTCTTCTTGATGCGATTTCATATGCCCAAGCTGTCATGACCCAAGCCCGCCCCTATAGGTTTTGCGTCATAACCGGCCAGTAATCTTGGTTTACCAAAGGCTTCTAAACAGAATAACAAAATATAAGGGCCTGCGGAAACAAATATACAAAATACAATGTCCATAGAGTTGCGTAGACATACATGGAATAGAAAATTTAAAACTTATATATATAATGTCAAACTTCCATACGTCATGTATCACCATATAGATAGTATCATAAAGGATTTAGCCCAATGTACAGTTAGACAAAAACAAAACAAAAACATCCTTCACATGATTCACAAAACTTGACTTTCAAACAGGAACCTCCCCGGGAGGCATGGTAGCCGACTGACAAAACAAAACTCTCCAGGAAGCAGCTTAGGCCTAGTCATGCGCCTGCTCACCTACATACATAATATAAATAGTGAGCGGAAACCTAGTGAATAATAATAGAGTAAACGTTTTAACGAATGATGTCCATAACAGTAACAGAGTCTTGTATACAAACAGATTTTCAAGAAGAAATAGATTCATATACATAATCACATTCGAATTCCAAGTTCATACATTTCACATGATAGTACGTGGTACATCTATTAGCATTCACAAATTTGATGACCCATGAAGGGACGGCCGGGAAGGCATTCCGATGAACCATAAAGGGACAACCATAAGACATTTTAATGACTCATGTGCATAGAGACATTTCCAATGACCCACAGAGGGACGGCCATAAAGGCATTTCGATGACCCATAAGGATGCATATCATATGATGCTAAGGATGCCACGAATACATTTCAACGACTTGGACAATCATTCATGCAAACAAAACATAGCAGTTCAGAAGACTGACCATTGTGTATCGTCAGAAATAATTAAAGTCAAACATAATTTTACAGAGTTATTACTCACAGATGGCTTCAATAGCAAAATAGAGAAAGCAAGCGATTCGGATAGTCTATGGCACGTGACCTACACAAACACATAGCAGATACACATTGAAGCACATGTTCGGAATATACTTAACTCATTACGTTTCGTTCTTAGTGTGTTTCTAAGTCTTATCCTCATTATTATGTCTTAATCTTGGCTTAAGAATGCTTAGGATGCAATGAGGATGCTAAAATGCACTTGAAAACATTTAGTCAAATATGGTGGAAACAGTGGTCTCGCTCGAGCGTAACTTCCTTCACTTGAGCAGACGTCCAAACATGTAAGTGGTTGCTTAAGCGGTCTATAAACTTTGCAAAAGTACTGGTTGCTAGATTTTTTCGCTCGATACACGTTCGACTGTCACTCGAGCATGAGACTAAGGTCTTCGCTCGAGTGAAGCTATTGTCGCTCGAGCGGTCTACAAAATGTGTAAACTTCTAGAAACATACATTTTACACTCGAGCCAACTTTTGGTTGCTTGAGCGGAAGTACAAAAATAAAGGTGGTCGCTCGAGCCGAGGTTCTGTTGCTCGAGTAGAGGAGCAGAATTCTGGAATTTCCAGATTTGTTCTCAAGCTCAAAACTCAAATCCAAAGTCTCAAAATACAACTTTTGGGCCCCAAAACTTGAGAAAACAAGCTCAAACTTGTAAATGAGAATCTAAAATCATTTCGCAAAATCAAAGTCCAAAAGCATAACAATTGCGCCAATTTAACTCAACACTTTGAAAACATATCGTATATGCAATGGAGTGAGTTCAAAGCTTCCAAATCATGATCAAAGAAGGCAAAGTGATGGAAAACATGACGAATTTTTAGAACAAAGCCAAATTGAGGACATGCAAGAGGAAATTCTTTGAATGCAACTTCAAAATCATGAGAATTAAGCATGCATGCATGATACACTGCCATGGCCATCTAACCAAGCTCAATTCTTGTCTTAATATAGAATTTGTTTTGAACTCATGAGTTAGCTAACTTAATTACATCATCAAAAGCTTGAATTATCACCTAAACTTCCCTATTGACCTTCAAGTAGTCCAAATCTTAAGTGATCAAGCTAATTCTCCTTAGTTCCCTTCAATTCTATAGCAGGTCACTTTGGTTGCACTCAATTCTTTCCCTCCTCTCTCTCTCACATTTAGTCTTTAAAATGAGGGATTGAGAGTGTAAAGTGTATAAAAAGTGTTGGGAGTGGCCTTATATAGGCTCATTAATGAGTTTTAATTAAACTTGGCTTAAGCTAATCAAATGGGCATTATTTATTCTAATTTAATTGTTTCGAATCAAATTTTAATTAAATCTACCATAAAATTCTCAAAAGTTCACAGAACACATATGCCATGTCAATTTCATGATCAGATGCCGATAAGGCCTTCAATTTGCAAAATATAGCAGAATCTCAAATAGATATTCCTATGATAAACATATAGAAGCACAAATAATGCAACACACATGTAGTTAATTTAGAATTTCATCTTAATTACTTATTAGGCCTAATTAATCATGATTTAACGGCTAATCATAGGTCGGGGTTATTACACAAGCCTTGCCTAGTTCAGTCTAAAACTTCCCTATAGAAAGTATATCAAGCATTAGTGAGTAATAGAACAACATACAATGTTTTTGTTCTAAGTAGATATTTCATTCAACCTAAAAATAAAGCTCAAGTTTGTTTAGGATTGGGTAGCAAAAAATGTACATCCCTGTATAATTATACTTATGAAAATAAATAAATAAATAAATATACAACCCAATTGATGAGTGGTTTTGATAATACACCAAAACAACCAAAACTTCTTTTTTTTTCTTCTTCTTCTTCTTCTTTTTTTTTCCCCTATGGAGAACTACATATTCCCATGAATAGGTGGCAAAATATGCCTCACTAATACTATTACAGATTTTTAGTAAGAAGTTCATTATGAGTCATGACAAACATGTCATCAACACCAAAAGATTTCTTGATCCCTTTAGCAATGAAACATAACTTGGCTTTTGGTACTGAAATATATGCACCGCATCATGGAGATATAATACTCAAAATACATCAATTGTATAATGTAAGACTCCAGTATATCAATTTTATAACAGATAGGTTAGGCCATGTAGAAATGCCCTGATTTTTTAAACCAACCATGGAGCACTCGATGATCTACTACAACAAAGCTCTAATTCAACCTAGAAAAAGAGAAACTAGGGTTGGAAATCGAACCATATATTGTTCAAGAGTTTTATATAGCAAGTGGAAAATAGCAGTGGAATTGACATGCATAATCAGTTAAAATTTACCATGGGAAAAGATAATGCCGCAAGAGAGATCCAAAGCTCTACCGTTGTGACCAATGCCCTGGTCATTACAATTAGATAAAACAGATAATTGATTAAAACCATTTTTGAAAATCTTGTTTAAAAAAGTGCATTAATAGGCAATACTTAGTTGCATGGAGTGGGGGCAGAAGTGGGGACACGTAAAATAGTCTAAGATTGAAAGTGCCTAGGGAAGGGTTAATGTATTTTATATATAAATATATATTGAAGAAATATTTTGTTGCCTAGTTCTCATTACCAAAATAACAATTCTCATTACAAGTTCTTTCTTTTTTTGGTAATCAAATTCTTCAATGATCAAAAATGTATTTACTCCTCTTCAAAAGTACATTCTAAAACCATCTTTAAAGAGCTCAAAAGGTCATACAAGTTATTGAAAACCACATCCTCTTCTAGCTGATAAAATAGATACACAATCTAGGTCTCATTAACTTTCTTGAAGTCCAGTTTAGTTATAAACATTTGTTAAACTATCATATACGATAATGTATAGTATAACCAACTCTGCAATACTATGTATATATATAAATGCCAAATGCATCCTATAATAAATACGTTAAACATTATTATTTATTAAGTCATAACAAATAATAAGGTTCTTTTATGAAAATTCATAAGACATATAAAACACAAATTCTTGTTCAAGCATGAAATAGCTGTATCTTGCATTTCATGTCACATTATCATGTTCAGGTACTTTCATGTCACATGAACTTCATAATATCCTTAGCGTTAGAACCAGTACTTCATAACTATTTGCTATTTGATATATGAAATGAAGTCTTATTAGAGAACCAAGCATATCCAAATGCATATTTGCTTCATCCATTCTTATTCAGATGAGCCTCAACAAAAATCAGAGACTAGGTGAGCGAATATTTACAAAAGTGTGGTACATCAAAATTTTCCATGTCATTCTTGTTCACTACGTAATGCAGAATATCATTTAGCCAGATGCAAAAATAGTGATCCACTCAAGCCATCATCAGCACCTTCAGAAGAAATAACCATTTCCAATTATTTATCTTTTGCATGAAATACTAAGTGAAAATATGGAAGAGAAATATTTATAGAAAATAAAGTCAACAGCAACCAA